CCAGCCTTGCGAGAGCCCGGGGAGCGACTGGGGAGGGAGCTGGGGAGGGGGCTCTCGAGTTCCAGCCCCAGGAGGCTCCTGCACCCCCTTCTACAACTTGCCTCGCCTGAAGCACCTGAGTCTTCGCAAGAACAACATCACCAGGCTGCACCCCTACACCTTCAACCAGACCTCGCTGCTCTCCCTCGACCTGTCCGGGAATGAGGGCTTGTTCGTGTCTAAGGAAGCCCTGGGGGGGTTGGAGTTTTCCCTGCAGAAGCTCTCCCTGAGGGGCAACCAGATGGACAACAGCAAGGCAGAGCTCCCCTGCCTGGACACGCTCAAAGTCTTGGACCTCTCGGGCAATAATTTGAGCCTTTTGCCCACGGGGCTTTTCTGCTCCCCGCTGGAAAGCCTGGACGTTCGCCACAACAACCTGCTGACGCTGGACAGGCCGGCGCTCGCGAGCTGGTCCCGCAGCCTGAAGGACGTCTCCGTCGCTGGAAACCCCTTCAGCTGCTGCTCCCTGGCCTCGCCGGACGCTGCGGGCGGCCGGCGTGGGCGTGCGGGACCTGGACGAAGCCCTCTGCGCCTACCGCGACGAGAGCAGGAACTTCTCGGCCAAGATCGCCAGCAGTCCTTGGTGGCTTTGCCCACGTCCCAAGGGCACCAGCCCTCTGGCTCTGCTCGTGGTCGTGATGGGCCTTTTCCTCCTCAGCTCCGGGGCTTGCTGCCTGCTGAGGAGACGGCAGAAGTCACCGGGGTTTGCGGGACTCCAGAGCAACAGGGTCTTCCCCCCCCGCCCCGAAAAAGAGGAGCCAGCCGAGGCGCAGACAGCGTCACCAAAGTGTAGCCCAGCCCTGGGGAGCAGGAACTGTGGCGGTCGGTCAGAACTCTAATTATTGTTAATAATATTAGTAATACTGTTGTGTTTCAGACCTCCTCCCCTCACCGGCATCCTGCGTGCGTGGCAAACCCAACGCGGGGAGCGTGGCTGGTGCTGAGCTCTGGGCTGGGCGGAGGTGGTCTCGGGGCCACCTCTCCTTCTCGAGAAGGAAGGTGCGCCCGTCTGCTCTGTTCCCTGCTAGAAATTAAACGCTCTGTAAGCGGTCGCGGGGGGGTTTTCTGCCCCGCCGTCACACGCTCCCATCACCCGGGACAAGAGACCAAGGCCTGGGCTGGCTGGGTTGACCTGCTCCCCCCGAACCCCTCAGGCTCTGCCTGTGGAGAGGGAATTGGCTCCATTGGTGGCACCTGGGCGTTTCACACCTTTCCCGGCAGTCTCTGCCTTATAAAGAGGTTTGATAGCTCAGCTGAGTCCCTGCTCAGCTCCCGAAGGGGTTCCTCAGCCCAGTGCTGCTGGAGCGGCAGGGAACGGTGTGTGCCAGCAGCCAGGGCAGGAGGGGGTTCTGCAGCATCCCACCCACCTCTCGTCTGCCCCTTCCTGCCACGCTGGCATCCGAACGCTGCCATGGGGCTGGCAGGGCTCGGGATGACCCCGGGCAATGCTGCGGGCGCCGG